TGAGTATGGAATAAGTGATGTTTCACAGTGGAAGTATAGTGGTTTATCAACTCGAAAAGCTTGACTAATCTACTCTCTAATGGAGTCTCTAGCCCCTTGTATTTGTATTCATGACAAATTCTATTTGCAGAGGGTCTCTCAGTATCCTAGGGTTGCTTTTCTTGCATTAGAGGTTTTTCCCAGTATTTATAGCCGTGTTCCTATTTCTAAGGGATCTTTAGTGTGGTCCTAGTCCTTCGTCCGCAGGATTTCCCTTGATCTTGAGAGGGAATCTTGGGTGGTTGAAAGTTTTACGCCTTTAATACCGTTCTCTCGCTATTTTGTGGATGCCTCTTATTAGTTTGTTGTTCTTCTCTCACCTCCTCTAATCTTTTTATCTTAGAGGGGCTTGAGACTTGGGCTTATGAGCTCTGGACTCCTTACTTAATCTCTTTGTTTGACCTCACTTTTCGGATTTATATTTAATTAAAATTTTTATTTATGCATCATCAGTGTCCTATTACCAAATCGTCATAAGTGATAGAATTTGAGGAGGTTAATATTGTCTTTCAATGACATACCTATAAAAAATATTGTCTTTTACTCGTGATTACCGGGATATTTGGAACTAGTGAGAATGGCGTCTCAATTCTTTTGATTGCAGTGGCCCACGTTCAAACAAATGCGCGTGCATTACTAAAAAAGATTTCAAATTTTTTAATTTTGATATATTCCATTAGCACAGAAATATGATTTTATTATTACAACTACCGGAAAATATACTATTATTTAATTTACTGATCTAATCAATTACACCATTAAACCAACATTGGACTCTAACACTCATTACTAATTTAATAACTACACATTAATTTGTTCAATCTTCTTGTTTAAATACCCAAGTGTTCGATTAAAGAATATATTAACTGACACTTCATATAATACATAAAATTTATCTTTCCTGCAATCACACTGTTTCACCATCTGTTAACCTACATATTATTGAAAAATTACCCATTAACGTATTAAAATAATATTTATTAAATGCAAAACAAGGTGAGTTAAACATGCGTACATTATAAACATGAGTGCATTATTGTATATAATTAATGTATTAAATAAAAATTATATTAAATTAAAAATTAATAAAAAAATTTAATAGTTTAACTTGTAATAAAAATTGGGAAGAAATATATATAAGGATAAGATTCAATCTCCTCTCTTATTTAGTTTTCTTATTGAATAAACAAAATTAAAGTTGGGCATAATAATAAAACTGCTGTACATGAAATTATCCGAAGAGCGTGAGGCAGAAGTGGTCGCGTGTGAATGGTATATTCATAGTCATGGTTGAGGAAGGTGCACAGAGACAGACAGAAACCACGTCTGGTGAGGGTGGGGCCCAGTTTGTCGGGCCTGCTCGCACTGAACCTGCTGCCAAACACAACACTTTTTCCATAATTCCATTTGCTTCGATTTCCCGCAAAAATATTTTGAGTTTCCCGCCGAAAGCCCAATTACTCAACCGTCGTTTTCAATCGTTTCTCGTCGTTTTGAAATTTGAACTGAACAAGAGGTCATGTCATATTGAAATGTCACTTCGATGCTAGCTGTCTCCAGCTAACTATGAACCACCAACCCAAAAAATCCTCCGGTTCATAGTTATAAACTTTATGAGTAAAGAGAATATTATTTAATATGATAAAAAACTAAGACAATAAAAAATTGTAAAAATAAATAAAATATCATATTTGATAAGAAAAAAAATATAAAAATAGAAAAGTGGATGGATTAATTTTTTTTTCAATTCACTAAAATTAATCTCTCTAAAATCAGAAGAAAAGTAGATGAAAAATTAATTATTTATGTTAATATATATCTTATTTGTCTATATATCTTTTTATATATACATATTATATATATATATATATTAATTTCATATAAAAATACAATGGTAAAGTATATATTAAAAATTTTTAAAAATAAATTTAAAATAAAATTTAAAATATTTTTTTTCATCATAAGTAAGAGTGAAAATTTTCGACTCAACACGATGACGCAACTCGAATTTGATACGAAAATGAACATGTCAATGCGTAACTCGACATGACACAATAAGTTAAATTAGTTAAGTTATGTTTGATTAATATTCGACACAAATTCGTAATAATTCAACACGAATCTAACACGACACGACTTGATTGTTATCCCAAATCTTAGCCAGCACCAAAAAAAAAAAATAGTCATTTTTATTTTACATCCATCCAAACAAACATAAATGAAGGAAAATGTATTTTTCCTATTTTTCATTATTGATTGATAGAAAGTGTATCCCTCCTACTTTTCATTCTTTTTACTTTCCATCCTTCCTACCAAACGGAGCATAATTAAGAAAAATTTCATCTATACTCCCTTTAGTGAAATATAAATTCAATGACACTCCTTATTTATTATGAAACTTTACTGTCACTCTCTATCAGACATTGTCAAGTAACGACGTTAATGAATAGGGTTAATTTACAAAAATATTTGGAGTATTTTATCCGTACTTTATATGTATACATATTTAACCTATAGTACAAACTATGTTTATGTTTACTTAAAATATTTGCATAAAAAAATTAAAAAATTAATTGAATAAAATTTTTTTAAAAAAATAAATAAATAATATTTACGAATGTGTAAGACAAAAAATATTTACTAACTTTTGTAGTGAACAATCAGTACGTAGAACAACTTAAGGAACCAACCAAACTCACGTTCAGCTACACAACTTCCAGCCAACAATAAAGGGTTATGGTGTATATATCTGTATATATATAGGGAAAAAAGTTTAAGATCATTTTAGTATATTTCTATAAGGAGGGGTATTTTGGATATTTTCAATAAAATTAAAGGCAAACTGTTAATTTTTTCATCAGCACTATTAAACTTTACGGTGTAAGGGGTGTCTTTGATTTAAAAGTGTAAATGAGAAGGGAGTGCAGTGAAATTTTAGAATGAATAGGGGGTGTCATTCAATTTATGCCTAATTAGAGGGGGTGTGAATGAAATTTTTCCTTTTATTTATGTGCTGTTTGGTAGGAAAAATGAAAAATAGTAAAGATAAAAAGTATGAGAATTATATTTTCTATCATTTAAAGAAAAGAAAATTAGGAATGATACATTTTTATTTTTTTATGTTGGTAAGATGGATAAAAAATAAAAATGATTAATTTTTTTTGTACTGGCTAAGACTAGAGGTGACAATTAAGTTGTGTCGTGTTAGGTTTACGTTAAATCATTACGGGTTTGTGTTGAACATTGGTTAAATTTAACTCAACTCATTTAACTAATTGTGTCGTATCGAATTGACTTGTTTATTTGAGTGTCGTGTTTATATTCATGTGGACTCACATGAACTTTAAATAAAAAATTTAAAATTAATATTCTATTTTCACTGAATTGAATCTATATTTATATTTTCTCTATAAACTAAAAATTAACTTAAATAAATATAATAATAATAAGTAAAAATATTTTTTATATAATAATTATGTTAGTACTTAATAAATAGTTATAAATAATTAATACTTTATGTCTCTAATACTAATTAAATATGTTAGTTTCGTGTTATCATACAAATGAAAAAATGGAAAAAAATGTTTATTTTTAAATAAACGAGTTAATGGTGTTAATTTTGAATTTGACTGGTTTAACTGAATATGAGCCGTTTATATTTGTTGTTTGCATGTCAAGTCATTTTCAAGTTCGTGACGAGTTATAATCAAGTCCGTGTCATCAAATTCGAGTCTTGTCATCGTATTGAGTCAAAAAATTTGACCCCAAACTAAGATGAAAAAAATATATATTTTTACATTAAAATTGTTATTTTTTATTTTTAATTTTTTTAAAAATATATATAAATACATATTTTATTATTGTATTTTTATATGAAATTAATGTATATATAATATATGCATATATCAAAAGATATATAGACAAATAAAACACATATCAACACAAATAATTAACTTTTCACTTATTTTCCTTCCGATTTTGGAGAGATTGATTTTAATGAGTTAGAAGTAAAATTAATCCATCCATTTTTACATCTTTCATATTTTTCTTCCTTATCAAACATGATATTTTATTTATCTCTCTAAATTTTTATCATTTCATTTTTTCATGGTACCAAACGAAAAAATTAACATTTAATTCCATCTAGTTTGCTCCTAACCACAAAAGGCATGCTCAGCTCCTCTTTCAAAATGGAGAGGGTGGCGCTAACAGCTAAGCAGCAGAGACAGCATTCAGGGAAACATGGACAAGGCAGGTAATGGTGGTATGAAAAAAATATGTATATATAAATTCATGAAAAGATATAGAGGTCTAATGTTGGAGAGGCATGTCTTTATTGATCTAAGGGAAAAGAGGCACTATGTCTCTTTGGTGCTCTCTCTACACAACGAAAATTCTTGGAATTCCTGTCCTCCACTATTGCCTTCATTGCCTCAATTTCATCTCCCATGTTTTGCCCCATACCACAACCATCACCACCACCACCACCACCACCACCACCCACATCTACATTCATAATTAAAAAATTTGATGTTAAACAACACGTATGAGTACAAAAACTAGTGTTTTACGTATTTACACTTTTATTGAAGATACAAAGTAAATACAAATTACAGAGTTAATGTTGTTAGACTACAACAAAACAAGATTGATCTTTAGAATCAAGCCGCAAACATTAAAATCAATCCCAATTTTCTTTTCTGTCCCAACTTTACTGTTGACTCATAACTCACTTTCTTTTAGTTGTAACTTGACTCTAAATGAGTTTTAAACAATATTCTTACATGTAAATTTTAGCTCACCACCTACTAATTTAATCTTACCCTTGTTTTACATGACTATGAAATAATGCATACAAGTTTTTTTTTTTTTTTTTTGGTTCTGTACTATGCTCTCTCTCTCTCTCTCCCTGGAAAAAATTACTTATCACAAGGTATAATAATATCATTGATATTTATATAGGGAAATATGATTCAAGTCATGTAGGGAAAACCCCAACTAGTCAATATAGGGGTTATTATTGAACATTCACATATATATTGGATTAAAGTACACATTATACAGAAAAAAAAATTACAATATATGCAACAGCTGATGCAACCAGCTGGTAGGATCCAAGAAAGAATACCAAGTGTCAACAGTGCTGTGCAGATAGTAGTATTGAAGGGCTGTTCTCATCATCTCCCTTCTCCAGAGATATCTGCATGGACAATTCAAAAATCATCTTTTGAATACTCAGAGAGAAGAAGAGGCCAAAAACAGAAAACCAGTAGAGGGTGATAGATATTTTGGGTTGGGGTGGGCGGGTTTAAATACTAGAACATAAAATTTTACCTTCTACATTCATCACGCAACCTCTGCAAAGTTAACATTTCATTTCCAATTTTCCAAATCTTACTTAAAATAGGAAGTGACAGTGCAGTAAAAATATTGGATCAAACCGAATTATTAATTAGAGAATTTTTTTTTTCCCAGTTAACGAGCAATCACATAGGAATCTCTCATAATGCCAAAAGATAATCCATGGAACAAAAACAAAAGTATCAACCAATTGCTTCTCAAAAGCATTTGAATGCTAGCAAGAGTGGAATCTGTAAGGTAGAACAGCAAACGTATCACCTGACAGCTGGACCACAGGTACGATCAACTGGTTGGTATTCTAGAGCTACCAATTGAAAGGAGCATGCTGCACCAACTAGACAGACATGATAGACAAACCTATTATATCTCTCATAGAAGAAAATGCTTCACTATCCATATACATATACTATATATCTTTAGTTTCTAGTCATCCACAATGTAGACATGATGAAAATTATAACCTCTCATAGAAGAAAATGCTTCACTATGCATATACTATATATCTCTAGTTTCTGGTCATCCACAATACAGAAATTTGGGAAACCTAAAATGGAGTACCAACATGGCAATATGCAATAGCAAAATCCCTTCAACTGAATAGATTTGACTGGCAGATAGGTACCACACATTCAAGGTCCAAGGAATATGGCTAACAAAATGCAGGGGGAGAAAATCTCAACCACAGGAAACAATACTGAGATGAATATCATCCATACTGATGATGCATTATAGAGGGAATAATTGGTGAAGATAAGACTAAATTACCAGTAGAAGATCCTCATCAGTACCGAAGGATTTGCGGGCCTCTTCTAGACACCTCGATGTGACCCTCTCGTGTTTCCTGAACAAAATTTCAAAGTCAATGACACTATCATAAGCCAAATTAATATTCAAAAGAAAATTTTCTAAAAAAAATTAACTTTGCAGAGAGACATGGACATCATATGTAGAACAGAGTTCTATTTTATCATGTGTTCTTTCCTTCTGTCCAATCCCCCCCTCCCCCCCAAAAAAAAACAAAAACAAAATTTCCAGCCCTCCAAATTAGTCAATCTGTCAACAAATGTTACGAATAAAGTCAATAATATTGCTAACATTTCATCGAGGCTAAATATTGTGATTAAATACCTAGAGCTGGCAGGATCTCGAATCTCAAACTCATCTGTAACAGAATCGTAGCCACAGATTATGACATAATGGCCTACAACAGAAATCGTTCTCATTAATATTAATAGATGGCGTATTGATTATAAGGACAAAATCGTATATAGCATATTCGAGATGCGATAGCATTAAAGGAATTCACAAAGAACACTAAGAATCAGATACAAGTAACTTGGACAAAACAAATATGAGAATCTGAAAGGAGAGTTCACATCACTTATACCACAGGAGAAAAGCACACAATATCAACCATGCACAAATAGCTGCGAAAGTTCTAAAAACTGGTAAAAAGAAATAAAAAGTGGATCATGATTGGCTTGAGATTTTGAGAAGTATGCTTCAGAGAAACAAATGGAATGCAACCTCTTGTTTACAAAATTCCAGTTGTTTGGTGACAAATGTTTGGGCAATAATTTGGCAACTCCAGAATACTTCCAACCAATGGCAAAAGATGCCATAAAGATAGAAGATAAAAATGACTCTTTCATGGAGCCAAAAAGGTTTGTCCAACTAGGTCAAAAGCTGCCCACCTCAAGCATGACCTAAGATCAAGTGTCACAAGTTGCAGAGCTATTCGCTTCCCCCTCCTCTTAAAAGTAGGTTAGATCCATTGCTGTAAATCAATAAAGAAATGATATTTTCAAGAACTATGATTGGGTACGTCGCTCAAAGCTCATCAAAATGTACAACAACCACAACTTTGTTCTTTCACCTTAACTCTCTTTGCTTTAATTATCTGAGATTTTCCCAAAAATAATCCACTCAAAGCACGAAGTTTGGGTTTAGCCATTAAATTCACTCTCCACCAATCACCATTATCTAAAAAATATTCGCAGAGAGCGAAACATAGAGGGAGAAAAATCACTTCTCACCAGTGTATCCTGAGCTGCCACTATAGAAGTCTGGGATATAAACATCCTCCAGTGAAGACCAACTGCATCAAAAAGATACAAAAGAGTTACAAACAAATGAAGAGAAGAGTTGAAGAATTGTTTTATTCTAACCCACTTAAAATATAACATGCGATCCTGAGTCCATGTGAGGAAAGGTATTAAGAGGGTTAACCACCAAGGTTGGTTTATATACTTGAGGGGCCACTCCACCCATTGCCAATTGATTTTAGATTGGATGCTTTAACATATTGTACCGATTTGTACAAACTAAAAAGAATAAGAATTCTATAGAAATGACATGGAAGAGAGAATTACAACCCACCTCAATTTGTACTGGTCGACTAAAGCAATTGCTATGTACTTCCCAGACAAGATCAAGAGAGAAATTTGTTCTCCACTAATTGAACCGCACTGTAAAAAAGAGATGCGCTTTTACTTATCTCTACAGACAAAAAAATTTACATATAGATAGAACAAACTGATTCAGATTTTTTGATGGAAGTAAAGCTATAATATTGGCGGATTTACTCCCAATTTTTTTCCCAATGCTAATAAATTACCACCAAGCAAATATGACCACGCTCTAGAGTTCACCATTAAAGAGTCAACAACGTGCAGGAATCCTCATTGACAAAAGGTTTGCACGTAAAGATTAACCCCAGTTAACTGAAAAGAAGGCCGTAAATGCTTCATTTATGTTTGCACGAATGTTTTAACTATCTTGTATATAAATTCCACAATCAATTCAAGTTTGCCAAATTATGTAGAAAATGGACAAAAATATGTCAAATACTTCCAACACGTCATTGTTCTGTGCAAAACTTCAAACAAGATCATTTGCGTAGTCTGAACAACTAAAGACAAATCCATACACTCCTCAAAACTGTCTCCTATTAGCCTTTGTTTTCGACCTGTTTTACCCTCGGGCATATGCTATCTCACATATTTCTCGTCATTTTGTTATTTGGTTGCTGGAAAACCAACATTCACTTTGCCTAGATACTAGGTTTTTGTTTTATATCATGTGGAAACAAGAATCAACTTGAGAGAAAAGAGGCTTTATCAAGAACAGGACAAGGTAGAACTGACAATGAAAGTCAAGTCATGAAGTTAAGCAATTAGGTGATCAATAATTCTTTTGCAGATTATCATCGAACGCATCCATACACAGAAAAACAGGCTGCACCTGTATATTAATTCCGGCTTCCAGTGCCTTCTGAAATAGCATGTCGACTCGCACTAGATCGTTGGGTAATTGCTCCTGCAAAATTATCTTCTCTAACTATTACAAGGAACAAAGAAAAGCAATAAGAGTATCTTCAACAAAAAAAAAACATATGCAGTATGCAAATCCAAATCTTAACTATTGAGGAAACTTAACCCAGAAAAGCCTCTGTTTCAACCATTTTGATCGTTTATGCATTCTGTGCCATTCATAAATCACATCCTTTTCTGTACCAATTCTTTCCCAGTGTCTCTTTTACATAGGCCAAAAATATACTTAGCCTAGGGTTTAAAGAATGTGACTCAAAACCAAGGCAGCCATGAATACAAAATATAGATTCACCATATAACAGACGTAGCTACAAGAAACACAGACGCCAGACCAACCTAGTTTTAAAATTTTGAGTGGATAGATGGTGATTGATAAACTCGAAGTGTAAATACAATCACGTTTACAAGGTCTTCTATGAATCACTCGTTATTGCCAAAATCATCAGCGAGCAATATCCAAAAACCAAAACAACTTTCCATACAAACCCTTCATATAGAATAAGCGCGTTGAATGGTCAAAGAAAGAAATTGTTCCTCCACAACAAGGAATTTTGATGAGATCGTTTTAGAAAAAGAAAGTCGGACTATATATAGAGTTTATTTGATACATCCTTCTTCTCCTTCCAGAAATCTAATGAATCCAACTAGACTGGATGTTCATAGAATACTAAACAAAATTTCATTTTTGCTCGTGAGAATAAAAGGAAAGATAGTATCGGACTTCCTGGTTAAGCACCGATGCTTAATAAACAATGCGTCTTCACCAATTAGCAATAAATCAAGCATTTATACAATCAGCAGACTACTCTGAACCAACACAAGAATACAATCTCTATACGTCCTAGTATCAGCAACAGATAGGTTATTTTTAAGATGATTAATACAAGTCAGATTTTAGGCGAGTGCGCTTGCTTAAAAATATCACGGCTTTGAGAATGGTGACATCTTGCAAACTAAATGCATCACGCCTAATGTCACCCAGTCACAAGAGATTTAATAAAGCTAATAATGCAATGAAACATGCAAATATAGCAACCAGGGACTGATCAGTGAAATTGTAAGATCTACAAAAATGGTGATTCATGGGTCAGGACATCACCTTGTAAAATGTCTCCACAGAAAAATTTGGGTTTGCTCCCAAAGTTACAGTGAAGTAGGAAAAAGGAACTGAAAATTTTTGCAATAAATATGCCAGATCAACCGTCCAGATACTGCAAATGACAAGAAAACCAAGGTTGTAAGGAAAAAATAAAAAACAAAAAATATTTCTATGTGCATGACTTATTCTGAAATACCCACATGCCACCTTTTCAAAATGTTCAAAAAACAGCAAGTCGTAACATGATATCCTTTTGATCAAAGATCAGGGACTCAGGCATCAAACATGCACATAAATACAAGAGCAAAAACATAGAGGAGAAAAACATCATGTCATCATATACAGAAACAGAGGAGAAAACCTCAGTTATCATGTACAAAAACAGTAGCAGAATAAAACAGTTATATATCATCAAAAATATTTTTAGCAAGTTCTTGTGTACGTATCAAAATTCAACAAGCAGCAAAGGAATAATTTTAGACTTGCAACTTCATTGTAATTTTTCCAACCTTTTTGTAAGCTAGGATCACCAAAAATGAACACTCCCTCTCCCCCCAACCAAAAAAATATACCAAAAAAGAGCTCGAAAGGGAAATATTCTAAAATTCCTAGAAATCATAACTAGATGGTTTATTTAGTACACTTCCCTCAATTTTCTATCTTCTAACCCAGCTCTACTCTATACCTCAATAAAGAAATAAGTCCAAAATTTCAAACTAAGTCCAGAGAAACATCCATTGATCTTCCCATCCTGAAAGAGTCAAGAGCTTCAGACGTCAATGTTTTTAATTTTCATCGTAGCATGCGTTGGGGTTATCATATTTTTGAATTGCTCTGTGGATGCCAAATCTAATTCAAAGTATGCACATTGACTGGATGACTGCACTGCAGACCTCTATGCTTGGACCTCCCGTAAAATTGATCTCAATCAAATCCTTTGAAGTACAGACATTTACTGCTCTCTATTTTGTTACACTCAGCCAGACTGGGCACCAAGCAAAGACCCTGCTCACGTTCAATTGATTCTTTTAGTAAGAAAGTCATCCATGAATACCTGGTAACAACCTGCCATCAATTCAATTGATGACTTTTATGCATTTGAACTTTTTTAATATCAACTTCACACACTTCATGTACTTATAATGTGATGAGAGTTAAAAAAATAGGTAAGTGACAATGACATAGTGTGCAAGATAGAAATTGGGTTTGAAGGAAAACATGCGTTCTCAAATAAAACTAAAATTCACATGCCATGCCTAGCAAATAAATCAGAAGTTTAAAGGAAGCCCATCACAAAGGGTTCAACTTTTGCGAGAAGGGGAAAGCACCTAGTCGTACTGCAGACCTCCTCCAGTTCCTGAATACTGCAGTTGTTGATGCCAACGGCCCTCAAAACCATCAAAACACAAGCAAGACCACAATCCCACATGCGTAGTTGGTTTATGTGTGGGACCTGCAACCATTAGTTGAAGATATTATCCATAGAAATATAACATTGGGTTGAAGCTTCACTTGGTTCATTTAAATCTATAGAACATGTAGTTCGTTAGAAGAAGTGCAAAGGTAATAAAACATAAGAAAAAGAAAAGGAAATCAACTTACCTCAACAAAGTGTGAATTGGGCAAGACTGAATCCTTGCATTTCTCACTAGTTACTGACTGTGTAAAAGGATAGGATTCCACCAAACTTAAATGATCTCCGTTTGATCGATGAACATGTTCTTCGTCTGTTTTCAAAAGCTTATTTAGGAGAAGATACAAAGGCCACATCTATGAAGCAAACCTTCTTCTGCGAGTGCCCAAAATTGTCCAAGTTTATTATTTCTTTGCCCGTCACGTTTTGCTATACAATCAATAAGAATCATAGAAAAAATTGAAAACAACAAATAACACTGATCTTATAAATAAATAACGTAGCTAGCCCAAATGACTTAACAATCAAATCCAATAGCATGAGATGACAAGAATGGTGATGAGGAACCCAACCCCGAAATATAGATTACGTGATGGTCACCTTTATTTGAGCAGCATGAGGACTCTGCGTTTGAATCTGGTTGGATTGTCTCTCTCAAATCTGCGAAATGAACATATAAATCTACTTAAAACATCGGTGCTCCAATATCAATTTTGAATAATGCAATACCTACCCAATATGAATCACTGCATTTTCTTGCATCAAGTGCAACTCACATGGGCAGATACAAATATGACTCACTTCCTTGTGTCAACGGAAAGAAAATGCAGTTAATTCAACCGGGTGGGTAAAGGTTTCCCTCTAAGGTATTGATGGTCAAAACATATTACTTCAGATTCACACAAACTCATTGCAAGATCAAGAAAACAATAAAAAACATTATTCAATCTTCACCAACAAAATTACCACTAATACTCAGGTCTCACTCTCGTCTCTGGCTAAACATACAAACTTTTGTTGCATAGATTTACTCCGTGTTATGCAGTTCTTGTAAAATTGCAACCAGTAATTAACCCAAAAAATAAATAGCTCAAAAGATCAATTTAATACCAAAAGAAACACTGATCTCACAATTAAACGAAATCAACAGCAATGATGAAGCTATCACAGTTCTGACATATGTCTCAGATCGTGTAGCAAAAAATTATAAACCAAGAAACAATCACTGAACCTGTATACATATACTAATATGCAAATGCATCTACATATGACACAAAAAAACATCCCATTACACATATAAAAACTGGAAAAGAAAAAGGAAAAAGCTGAAGGAAAGCATAGGATCAGGAGGGAGAAAGGGGTACCCTTTTGGAGGGGTGGTTCAACGAAAAAGGTAAAGAAAGACCTGTCCAAGGAGGTGATGTCTCAGCTGTTTTGGGGCTTTCTTTTTCCTCCCTGTTTTTGCTTCGTTGCCTTTTTTTTTTTTTCTTTTTCTTTTTTCCAAGGTAGTTGGGTATGAAAAAGGTTTTATATTGTGTCCAGAGCTTATCTGGGTTACGTTCGGTGGGTCGAGGAGGATAGGGCTAATGAATGAACTGAAATGAAATGTTCTTTTTCTTGACCTTTCTTATTTGGGCATATGTCATCACGTAACAAGACCAGATTTGCTTTTATTCATTGCGGTTTTTTATCCTCAATCAAATCCAAGATATGATGGACTTTAGGTTGATTCAATGGCCAAGTACGTCATTTTGTAACTAAAATATCTTCGGTTTAATGTTTTTTACATTCTTTAAAAGTCGAGCAATGTTATTAGAATTTAATTTATTGATCTAATTTACTATAATTTTTACATTAACTGTAGGACCCATTAAACATTAAAATTTGGTGTTAATTCAATGCTTCTGCTGAAACTACATAATTATGTCAGTAAATTAAGTCAAAATTTTTGGTCTAAATAATATTACATTTAAAAGTCAATCACTCGACATGTCTTTAAATTAGTTCGAGTTACGATGATTGATCCTAGAACTCAAGAAAATAGTCGACATAAATATCACTACACTGTAACAAAAGATAAAAAAATAAATATGAGAAATGATGTAACCCCCGAAATTTTTACCAAATTTTAGTGGATCTAACAGTGTTGATCAAATCAAAGCTAGAGAAGTAATAACTACTATGACCAATCAAAACCTCGGATCCAAATATGCTCCCGTGTTAATTTTTTAATATTAAAAGGGAAATATAAAGACTTAATTTGAGGAACTAATTAGAGATTTAATTTATTATAACTATCAAGTTAATTGTGAGTTCTAAGGTTAAATGAAAAACATTTTTCAATCTAACAGTAGTAATTGATTAAGTTCAAATAATATTTTTAATTATGAATATGAAAAATGTTATTACAATATAACTTAGAAACCTAATCAACTACGACTATTGCAAATGTTAGTGCATTTAATGTTGCAATCAGTTCCATCGTATTTCACTATCACCGAAAAAGTGAAAGGATAAATTACACTGACACCCCTCGTTATTTCTAACACTTTCATTGTACTCCCTATTGTTTATGAAATTGCACTGACATCCCCTGTATTGTAACAGATACCCCCAAGCAACACACAACTTCTGTGATGATGTAAGTAAACTTTTTGACCTAAGCTTTCTATTTTATCCTAAGTTAAAATAATGTCTATTTTTATTATTAGGTTTTTGTCCCTCAAATTAGACAATTTTGACACATTAACTATAATTCTCTTAAAAGTCTTCCAAATTTAAACATCCCACAATAGTAAAATTTCTTCTATACTAAAACATGAAATTGAATTTCAGTAATATGGAACCACTACTAGAACTAATTACTTTTATATTGAATCACACCTAAAAAAATCGTATCAAGAATGTACATATAATTTCATTAAATTTTAAAAAACAAAATAAACCATCATTATGAACTCAAACCGAAACAATCAATTAATATATAACACTGGATTTCTATAAATATTGAGCCATTTTTCATTTCTGAAGTTGTTAACATCAACAAACATCTATATAATAAAGTACAATACAATTCAAATTTTAAAAAATAAACAAAATGACTTTTGTTTTTCGCGGTTGAGATTTCTTTAAATTTTACTTCAAAATTAATTCGACGGTTAATATTAACATTCAAAATTTTATAAATAGACTCTAAGAGTGTATTTGAAATAACTTTTTAAAAGTGCTTTTAGAACTTATAATTTTCATAAATACTTTAAAAAAGAAGTACTGCTTAGAACTGTCCCACCCCCACCCCCACCCCCACCACCACAATTACCCCCACCAGCACCACCCCCACCCCCACCACCACAATTACCCCCACCAGCACCACCCCCTTACCCACACCACCACCATCACTATCGTCACTGTCGCCGTCGCTGTCGCCACCATACCACTACCTCTGTCACAACAACAATCACCACAACCATTCTTATCATCCCACCACCACCACCCCCATCGCCCTAACCACCATCATCCCCTCCCAACTACCACCATTACCCCCATCGCCCAACCACTATTACTACCGTTGTCACCCCCATCTCCACCTCTTCTACAACAACTACCATTATCGTTGTCGCTACCCCACAATTGTCCCACCACCACATCCCCATAACCACTACCTGCACCACCATCATCGTTGTCGCCACCTTATCACCACCACTGTCCCACCATCACCCCTACCACCACCACCCCCATCGCCACCATCACAACCGGTTGTCTTCACCCATCACAACCACCATTGTCGTTCACCACCACCATTGTCACTCATGGCCATTTGCCCCAATTACAATCAGTGTTTAAATTCTTTTCTCTTTCTTTTATTTTTATAATTTGATTTTGGGTGTGCATATAAATATACTTATTGTTGATCATTTTTTTTTAATTATTTTTTGTCTTCAGGCATGTGAAATAATTAGTTATGTTAAAGAGAATGACTTTAAGATGATTTAAGTTAATGTGTCAAAGTTGTCTAACTTGAGAGGACAAAAAATGTTATGGTAAAAATATACAATTTTTTAACTTGAGGGTAAAATAAGAAGTTTAGGTTAAAAAATTTGGTTACATCATCAACAAAGTGACAGTGGTTGCTTGAGGGGGGACATCTGTTACAATATGTCATATCACAAGGGATGCCAGTGCAATTTCATGAACAACAAGGGGTGCAATGAAAGTGTCAGAAACAATAAGGGGTGTCAGTATAATTGACCCAAAAATAAAACCCTACTTGAGGTAAGATTAGGTCAAACCGACACGTGTGCTTTTCTATGAAACTAAATGTTGGGGACACTGACCAGTAATGCCGGCCCAAAATTAGTGGATTGTTGCGGGTGCTAATCAAATTTGAATAATGCTACGTAAATTTAAAAATTAAACATGATAATTAGAATTATTGATTTTACTATGTATTCGAATATTTATTAGGACTCATTATCTATTCAATGGTTGAGATTATCAAATCTAATTTTTAAATCTAATTTTTAAATCCATCTAGCATTATTCATTAAATTTTGATGCCAAATTTAACAGTCTAACATAGACCATATGCACTCTCTATAGATAAGAAAGGCATACCGTGGTTAGTATTTGAGTTTGAGAGTTTGAGGGTATAATCAGTGCAAGTTTAAACACTTTGTAATAAAAACTCCGAAAATATAATTTTTTACAATTTCTTTCTTGATAGATCACCCGTCGAACATTTAAGTGTGACCTATTATATACCAGTAGGTCTCTCATTCATTAATGGTGAATGATCTGTCAATAAAAAAATTGAAGAGAATATGTATTAGAGAGGATCTAGTATGTGTGCCAAATCATTTGGGACAAAAATAAATTATCACCTAGTGTAGTATTTTAGGTTTAAACTAGGTGTGTTAATTAAATGAGTTACGCAGAGTTAACTTGAGGGTTAACGAAAGTTAATGAAATTTTTATTTCACTTTTAATCCAAACCAGATCTCCACACAAACACAATAAAACCTTGTTTAGAGTCGTGAATTCGGGTCATACATGTCAGGTTAAAATTCAAATTTCATTCACAGGCTCAATTCCAACAAAACAACTTCAAATGAATATTTGAGTTCAGTACTACTAATTCTTGGTTAAACCCACCCAATTTAGTGAATTGGGGATGGAGGAGATTCAGACATACAAGCATGGCTTAAAGCAACCACTTACCTTGCGGTATAATTACTACTCCATTGAGAGAGAGAGAGACAACCAAGTGGAACTTCTGCTAACCTGAGGGGCTGTTTGGTTCGCTGAATTGAAAATAGTACTCTGAACTTGGGTAACATATGTCATTTTTCATGTTTATCAAGTATTTTTTTTTTAGAATTATGAACTCGGACCCACAGTCATCATCATAAACAACTTCATGTATTTGGAGTTATTTAAACCCACCTTGGGATAGAATTAAAACGATCCCAACCGAATTAGCTAACTAATTTTGGAATATACATCTGCATTAATTGAATCACAATTGTTTTAGTGGTGTGATCGTAATATGATCACTAATAAGTTGATATCACTTAGATTTATAGAAGGGCCACAACTTTCACATATGCTAACTAAACACAAAATTAGCTAAACAAAAGGACGCTCTTTCCAAATGGTTGGATTGGATAGAAAAAAAAAGAAAAGAGAGGATAAAACATAACAACTCAAATCAAATGACTTCGAATGTTAGAAATTTTTTAGAGTCGAGTCACGAAAAATTTATTTTTTATGAATATTCTAATTCCGATATAAATAACTTATCTATGACCAAATCAAAAAAAGAGTCGATCGGAATAAGTGGAAAAAAAAAGAAAAAAGAGAAGACAAGAAAGAAAGAAAAGCACACCAACCCCATCCTATGCTACCCGACTATCCAAACGGTCTTCCTGAAAAGTGAAAGCCAGTTGAGTATGATGATGAAGTGAATACACTTCGAAAAAATTAACCACCATTTGCCTGTCAATATCAGAAGTCAATGGCTATGGCTTTTAGTCTTTCAACAACGGCGTGAACTATCGTTTCTCTCTTTTTTTCTGCTTCAGCTTTGAATAAAGCGTTGAACATATAGAGTTTAGTAGCCGTTAGTGGGCCTTCTTGCATCTCCCTTTTGGGTTGGAACTTGAAAGTTAAAACCCATAGATGGAAGACAGACTGTAAGCCTTTCATTGGAGAGATTCTGGGAATGAATGATGAAAAAGCTCAGCAACTCCTAATACAAAGTTGTGGCTGTCAAAACCAGTAGTTAGCTTTGAGTAATGATGTGTTTATCAAATATTGTATATCAAAGGAATGTGAATGAAACCCACTTATTCATTGTAAGAGAAATTTGATAAGCATAATATTATTGAGTTTTTATGAAAAGTTGACACCCTTTAGTCTTTTGTTTTTTTTTTTTCAGTCAGACAATATTACAAGAGAAGAAGAGGACGAAGTTTGAACTAAAGAGGTTAGAGTAGCTCTTAATCCAATTTTCTTATACTTCTAAGAGTTGAACAAAATTTGGAAAACCAATTTAAAAGTTTTGACTAATTTGGAAAACGTTTTGCTTTTGACTAATTTGATCCACTGTATTGAATTTTTGAACTGGACTAGCACTTTAGGAAAGAAAAGAGACGTTGGCATCCGGGAATCGACAGTCACCTTAAAACTTAATTGAACTCAGACCAGAAGAGAAGAGAATAAAATAAAGTCAGGCCTGAGAACCAATCTCTTTTGTCAGATACCATCTGTTAGAAGAACAACCTCTAACATTCATGATCATGGCTACCTTCATGGTTTTCAATAAAATTTTCTGAAATCCCTCGAGAGATATCAAATTACTTCTTCACCCTTTAGAATAGCCATGTTTGCACTTGAAGCTCTTCTTCCCGAAAACGAAATACCAATCAACTGAACTTTGGTTTATTATAGCTAATACTAACCCCATTTTCTTTTTCAAGCACTTGGGTTTGGAGATTTTCTAGTTCAAATGGAAAGTGTAGCTAAGAACAGTAGGGAAAAAGAGGGTGAGTCACTCACATAACGAACAAATTGAGCAAAATTGTGGTGGGTCTGAGTCACTCACATCCAGTACGGGTTCTAGGACTGTTCTTCTTCGCCGGCCGTTGGATTGGCATATTCGGAAGGCCCAGTTACCCGAGTGCTCGATTTCTGAGGAATTTGAAGTTGAACACGAGACCCATTTACGTGTCACCAAGTTGAAGAAAATGGATTCCAGAGTTTCAGGTCAGTGAAGGTGGTTGGTTGCCTAGAAAACATGTGAAATCGTAGAAATTCAAAACACCAACAAAAAACAAAAAAAAAGGAAAGGAAGCAAAGGTAAAAGTTATGTATTAGTTCTTGTGTTTGCTGTTGTTTTGTAGTCAAGGAATGAATAATTCAACTCAACCAAGTGAAGGAGAGGTTTTAGACTTAGTGTTGTGAAGGTTTCTTTTTTCTGGGGACTTAAGTTGTATACATTTTGTTCTTTCAGACATTTCCTCTTCAACCAAACACAGCTTATTGAACAATTTGTAGATAATAGATTTGGCAATCTCTGGGTCTACACTTACTCTAAATTTGTCTTATTCTTTGATCAAACTGATTAGAAATGGAGATGATGAAAGAGAGGTTTGCGAAATTGTTACTTGGTGAGGACATGTCTGGAAGTGGTAAAGGGGTTTGCACAGCGTTGGCGGTTTCAAACGCCATTACCAACCTCTGTGGTATTCACTCACTCACTCTTTCTTTGTCTATCCATTTGATTTTTATTATGAATTGGTGGAGTTGCTTTGTGGTGTGAAGTGATGAAGTTGTCTTTGCAATTCTTTTTTCCTGCTTTGCTTCTTTAGTAATTCTTCAAAATTTACCATCTGCAGCTGCGGCATTTGGGCAATTGTGGAGACTAGAACCATTGCCTTTACAGAAAAAATCAATGTGGCAAAGAGAGATGGAATGGCTTCTATCTGTTAGTGATCACATTGTTGAGTTAACACCCTCTTGCCAAACATTTCCCGATGGACGTAAGCTTGAGGTATTTCTAATTCTGTACTGATTCTTTTGAGATTCATATTGCACTATTGAATAATCTTCAGCTCATATTGAATGTTCCATGAAGTTTAATTTCATTTTTTGCATCTATATACCCCAAGAAATGTCCTTGAGAATTAATTGCAGCGTTGAATCAAAATCTCATTGGCGTCAATGCATAACATTTACTTCAAATATCTCTTCCTAGTTTACTCTCATATATCAAACTCAAGTTTTAGCCCTCCTATTTTAATTCAGTACGCAGATGGTGCAGGATCATACCTCTGCTGAAAAATAAGCTAATCTGATATATTTAATCAGTGAATGGAAGGAATGTAGTGAATTGAATATTCCTTTTGGGTTTACTAACAGATGGTTACATATCTCATTGTATTTCTGTGTTTGCTGCTTAGGTGATGACTTGCATGCCACGATCGGATCTATTTATCAACCTCCCAGCTCTTCGCAAACTTGATTATATGCTTCTTGTAAGGGTAGACCTTGTGTTTCCTTTTCTTTTTCTTTGTGTCCATGCGTTGGAATTTGGAAGTAGGAACCCATTCTGATTTTACTTGTACTGCTATTACAGGAAATATTAGATAGCTTCAGCAATACAGAGTTTTGGTATGTTGATCAAGGGATAGTAGCTCCTGAGGCTGATGGGTCAGCCTCTTTCCACAAAACACTTCAACGACAAGAGGAGAAATGGTGGCTGCCCGTGCCTCGAGTCCCTCCTGGTGGTCTCACTGAAACTACCAGGAAGCAGTTGAATCACAAGCGTGAATGTGCAAGTCAAATTTTAAAAGCTGCCATGGCTATAAACAACATTGCTTTGGCTGAGATGGAAGTTCCTGAATCATACTTGGAAGCTCTTCCAAAGGTCCAAGTTTCCACCAATGCTACCTTTGTGACGTATAATAGCAGCAATTTATTTTTCAATACTCATTGTTTCATTTTTTCTGGTTTTAGAATGGGAAAGCCTGTCTTGGGGAGTTTATCTATCGCTATATCACTTCAGAGCAGTTTTCATCGCAATGCCTGCTTGATTGCCTTGACCTGTCTTCTGAAAATATTGCTATAGAGCTTGCAAACCGTATGGAGGCATCAATTTATGTGTGGCGTAAAAGACTTCATCCAAAACCCTTAACTAATCCAATCCGTTCTACTGCAAAATCATCTTGGGAAATGGTAAAGGAGCTAATGGTAGATGGAGATAAGAGGGAATTGCTCGCGGAAAGAGCTCACAGCCTCCTGCTGTGCTTGAAACAGCGGTTCCCTGGTCTGACCCAAACTGCTCTGGACACCAGCAAGATTTATTGCAACAAGGTTCATACATACTTCCATTGAAAGATCTTGTTCTCTTGAATGCCTAAGTTTTTTTCGATCATACATATATACTTCAATTAGATAGTTTATATTCTTTCTTTTCCAACTTTCCAGGATGTCGGAAAATCAATTTTGGAGAGCTACTCTAGGGTCTTGGAGAGCCTGTCATTTAACATTGTGGCGCGTATTGATGATCTGCTCTATGTGGATGGCTTGACTACGCAATCTGGGAAGCTCTCATCACTTCCTACAGTAAGTGTAATTGCCCACAAAAAGGTTATCTCAGGCACTCCATACATAACTGTTGGTGCCACACCAAAATTTTCACCTGCACCGCTGGTAATTCCTGCAAGCGGGGAAAGAACTCCATCCCTCAGTGCCAACAGTAATAAGCCTCCTCGTTCCGGGTTTGGAGTAAAAAGAGTCTTGACAAATTATCTTGGTGGTGAAACAAAGGTGAAGAACTATGCCAATTTACTAGAAGGCCTAGGTTCTGTTCAAATAAAAAATGCTGGACTCCCGGCATCTCGAACTAGCACGGATCATACTGATCGTCGAAAGGAGGCATCAGCCCACCAGAAGGGGAGCAGATTACGACTTACAGATTACTGAGGTATTATTTGCTTGAATCAGCTACAGAGGTCCTCAAAGAGTGGTAGAGAAGGAACAAAATAAATGGGAAAAGAAGTTTTGTGAAAAATCTTTATCATCATAGATTCCTTGATTGTCATCAATTTGTGCTTAGTTGGATTTGATGTAGTGTTCAATTTTCTGAGAGGAGAATTATATTTTCATGTCTCTCTGATTTGGCACATCGTGTATCGGTTGAATTCCTGGTGCCATAGCAGAATTCAGAAGTTCTGGGTGAATTAAGCTGCAAATGATATACAAATACAGATTTTCCCAGCATTTTGCTGAAACAGGTTTCACAGAGGTTTCATAAATCAAGTTAGAAAAAGACAAAAACAACTATAGGGGCATTCCGAGAATTGAACTCGGGACCTCTCGCACCCTAAGCGAGAATCATACCACTAGACCAAATGCCCATCTTGTTGTTGGCAGAGGAAAAGCTAATTAACAAAGATGTTCAACCAACGAGAGTTGTATTAATAAGCCAGATTAAATAAACTACCACCCATCAAGTTAAGCGAAATTCGAATTTGGAACCTTTAGTTTAAGTAACCACAGAATTCTACGTATTTGAATTGTTTTAATGGCAGGTGCACCATTCAATACATAAGATTTTACCACTATTGAGATGCACCATTCAATTAACTGAATTTGTTACGCTAACTAAATTGTTTATCAAATTTTGTATATTAAATCATTGTAGGTGGTTAGGTCAGTGAGTCCCACTCACTCCCATTAAGTATTCAATATATAGGATTTTGTTTAGATACAATACTTAATAAACGCACTTGGGACACATAACTTTATTGTTGAATTTATCCATTTGTTAGAGAGTGGACACACCTTTGCTAATTTGTTGAATCCATGTGGAGCATTTAAGGGAAAGACCTTCCTCAATTGCATGGCAGGAGAAGATTTGAATTGTTCTTGTAAGTAGAAAATATGTGTTACCCCTACGTTCGTAGGTTGATCATTGGACCTGTGTGTATCCTTATGAACCTTCTTTGCAAAACGAATAAACTGTCTAAGACCGAAGTGTTTCAGTCGAAAATACTTCGATTCTTAAGTCAATATTGAAATGATACCAATATGTTTACATAGAAGATTGTGCATCCTTTTTACTGTGCATTCGCTATCCTTTAAATAGGGCTATTCTTTCTGCTAGGGTTCTCGTTATTGATGAGGCTGGGTGACACATCCCTCATCATTTTTGGATATTAGCTAGGGATAGTTGGAATCTCTCCAGACGCTCTTTCAATTGCCTAACTTTTGTAGAGCCGTGAATCGTGCTTATTCATAGTACCTAAATATCCTTGATTATAGTCGCTTCCTTGTGATTTAGTTAGAGCCATATTTCGAATAAGCTCGGCCCTCTAAACCAAATGCCTTTCCATCGTTGCCGAGTTCTTTGTAGATCGGTCTTACATTATAAACCAAGCTTTCCTAGTTCGATTCAAATCCAACCTTATTATTTCTCTTTTTGGGACCCACGTGATCTGTCCCATCTTGTCCATGTGAGTAAATTATTCATCTGTATGCATGGCATGACTTTATGTCCTTTTAGTTCTCTTCATAGTTTTTTTAGTGTTCATAGTTCACTTCACCCTTCTATCATTAACATGTAAAGATATGTGGATTTTGGTCTTCAGTTCAAATGACATTTTCTATTAAGTTGCTCAAATCGAATTTGGATTCGAATTTCAAATCACATTCACATTTGAATGAATTAAAATTCAATTCGTTAGCATATATATCCCATTAGCCCCACCCCAATCACAGTCAACGCCGGCCTTAGCCCATCAAATAAACCCATTAAGTGCATATTTGGTGATGTTTGTGTTGTACACAGCAAATGTTTTTTTTTTTTCCTTTTTGTTGGTGCTCTGGAAGTCGAGGTAGAGTCATCTAGGCTCTTTTACAAAAGTTATAACTAGGCTCTTTTACAAATGTTATGCTTGTTACATTTAGCACTTAGCACAGGATTTCATTTCTATTGGTGCAACAAAAAAGGTGATTCGGTGCATAAAATTTCAGCCTAATTAGGTGTAGATGTCCATGATTTTATGTCCGCATGTAAAAACATATTTTCCCAACTTTGCTAGTCGTTTTTTAATATTTAACAAGCAAAGCAAAACTAATGTTTTTAAACACCCCCCCAAAAAAAAAAAAAAAACCCCACCACAAAAAAAAAAGAGAAAGAAAAAATTTAAAACCATTAAGACTAATTCTGTTTGATTTGAGTTTCAAAAAATAGTATTCGAAAATTATTTGGGACCAGAGTTTTAAAAATTGGTGTTTTGATGTTTTTTGTGTCATACAACTTGTTTGATTATATGATTTTAAAAATAATTTTACAGAATAAAAAATATTAAATTTTATTTAGACAATAACTCAAAAAACAATAAATATAGAAATGTAGTGGCGGTGGTAGTGATGGTGGAAATGTGGTGGACGTTGTGGTATTGGTAGTGGTGGTAATGTTGTTTTTTAAATTGTAGAAAATGGGCGCGTTTGAACTGTATCTCAAAAAACAGTTGACAAAAATAATTTTTGAAAAAAATTTTAAGAAAAAGTTTTTGAAATTTTTTATACTACAAAAACTATTTGGTTACATATTTGTAAAAATATTTTTAAATAACAAAAAATAATAAAATCTGTTTGAACAATCGTTCGCAAAACCCTCTACCCCAATTTTTATATTATCTCTTACTCCTCTTTCGGCCCGTCTCTGTTCCTCCCACCCACCCCCCAAAAAAAAAAAAAAAAATAAATACACACACACAGCCATGCACAATACACACACACCGCAGACACCCATACACAACACACACACACATCACAAACACCCATACCCACAGATTTGAAGCTAGATTCGATAGAGGGGGAGAGAAGGAGAGTTACGAGAGAGAGAGAGAGAGAGAGTGTGTGTTCAGTGAGAACGGCAGAGAAGTTCATAGTGACCATCATCTGTATCCAACAAAATTCGAAGTGGAGTTAATTTGAAGATGTTTCCTGTTTTTTGTGTTTTTATTTTGCCTTATAAGAATATTATTTTCTTGTTTTTAAAATGACAGCTCAATTCTCAAAATTTTTTAAAAATTAGAGAATAAAAAAGTTAAACAAACAACATCTCTCTTATTTTTAAATTTTTGAGAACAGAAAAAAAATAATTAATCAAAAATTAATTTCTAAGATACAAACCAAAGAGGCTTACTCACCCCAGGTTTGATTTTAAGCCTCACCTGTAATGGTTCTCACGTGAGGTTGAGTACAGCTGATGCAGCATTCAAAGTCTTTTGGCTTGGGATTTGTTGAAACCGGCGAATTCAATTTAGTGAGTTCGGCAAATCATATAAATGAGTTCACGAATTTGTGGTGTTTTCGCTATGAAAGCGTGAATTTGCGCTCGAAGTTCTAGAGCGCCAGTGGCTTTAGGTGAATTGTGTGACATAGCCCCGAACTCTCCGCCCTAGCCCATTCGTTATTTGGGCTTGTTAGTAACCATATGAGCAAACCCATTTGTCTTCTAGTCCGTTCGGACATAACCTTGACCTGGAAGCTTCCTCATTTCTACCACCGTCCTCCACCGAGAAAAGCGTCCCATTTGTCCCCACCAGTGACTCCCAAAATCAACGCACACTTTCACTCTCATCACGCAACCAACTAATCCGATCCTCTGACTTAAACCTTCAGATCCACTCCTCCACCGGCCGGAAAATGGACGACGGAACTCTTCCCAAGTTCGGGACAAGCATCCACGTAACAGCCCTCGACGGAGTCATAAACGTGAACTCACTGTTCACGTTAGCAGTCTTCATCGGCCTAGCTTGGAACCCAGCAGACCATAACAACAGCCTCGTCGACCTTAACACCGACCCGAATTGCGTTGCCGGGTCGAAAGTTGCCGAGGACCTTGTCGCCTTTCACGTCTACTCTTTCAGCTCCTTCCTCTTTTCCAGCCTCGTTGCTTTGGCTCTCAAACAGGCCATTAGACTCGCCAAATTGGACCATTACCGCCATGTCTTCTCGCTCGACCTTGCTCATGTCAACAAGAACGTGCTTCGGGTCGGGTACTTGATTTCTGCGGCTGGTTCCGTTAGTGGGTGTGTGTTCTTGATGCTGGCATTGGTGAATGTGGTGCAGATCAAGCTTGGGACGTTGGCTTGTGGCAGTCCACATAGCTATGGTGCTATTGTTCCTCTTGTGATTTTGGTGCCAATTGCGTTGGTTATATATGTTTGTGTTGTTTTTTATGCTTTTACTCGTTAAGTGGTGGTTGTGAGCTTCAGAAATTTAGGAACTTGGATTAGGGTTTCATTTGTACGTGTTATTGTGTGATTTTGAGATAGTACACTGATGAAATAAGAGGTTTTGTTTATATGAGCAGAATTTTGAGATTTATGTTTTAGTCGTCTTAATTGATAACCCATGAACAACTGAATGCCATTGAGTCATGGGAAATTGAGATTAATATTATTACAGATTTATTAGACTATAATTGTTTATGGGAATACTATTCTTTTTTTTTTTTTTGGTCGGGGAGGGGGACGACGAGCCCGTAACCTTAAGGTTCAATAGTGGGGCGGTTATTCTATCACATATGTTCCTAATTAATGTAAAGAAGAAACATCAATTTCTTGTATAAAGGACAGAGATCTCAAAACAGGATGGAAGGTTAGTTCTATCACATATGCTTTTACAATTTATGGTGCAACGCGGGGAGGCAAAAAGGGGGTGCCAATAACACCCCCTTGTTTGTTGTACATCCTTATTTTTGCTATTGAGATATTTACTTGGCTGATAGAATTTAGTTTAATGTTCTCAACAATGCTATGTTAATGATAGTGGGACTGTTATGAGATAAGTAGTTGTGAATCAGAAGTTCAATGAGTGGAATACATTTTGTGCAGACATTTGTTTGGGTAGCATTGTTTTTTTCTGGGTTATTCAATTTATTATACAAGGCTTTAAGATGTTAAATTTAAAAGAGCGTGGTACTTCAATCTGCTGATGTTATATGATCTAGGATTGAAATTCTAGTACTTAATGTGGCAATGAACTAGGATACTTAAAAATACATTACATTGTGACGTTGACATGATTCATGAGCTTCTTGATGCCAGAAACATTTAAACTGTCTTTGTTTTTACTTCTTGAAATGAAATTGTGAAAACAAAGTGAACGGATATTCACCCTTGATATTGTCGTTTCAAAGTACTTTTGGTTGCTAACATGTGGATAAATACAAGTACATTCAGCAATATTTTGCTGGCCTATCCCACCCTTATCCTCCCAAGTCAAAGGAGTTAAAATGTGTCAAAGCAGTTATAATATGCTGATTTTTTAGCCACACCTCCTTGCGTACATTGTTTCAAACCCTTTACAAGTGGTTTTATGTGCATGCACACACACACACACATTGTGTCTCATCAAGATGAGTGGGAGAAAGTGTGAATGGGATGTATGGTGTAAATGCTTGAACATTTGTAGAAGCAATAATTCTACAAGTACAAGCCCAAATTTGAGGTTTTGAGAGTTAAAACAGTAGCTACATATGGAAAATAGTTGCTAAATTTGGTCTCAATGGGCATAATAGAAAGGAAAAACAAATCCAGAAAGAGTGACATTGACACATCCATTCAGTGTTGGAAAACAGGGAAGTGATAGGCTTGATTATCGACTTTATCTGCATTACAGAATTAGGTTTGCAAGATTGTAGGATACTGATATGGTCAAAGCCTCTATGTTGTGATCCTAATGCTCATAGCCTTATTCGTCAAGGGTGACGAGCAGGTTGAGTTCAAGTAGTATATAACAAAACTCTGCTTCATTTCTAGGCAGGGATATAGTACATGATCAACAGGTGCATCGTTAGATTTTGTCTGGCATTACGAGATACTATCATTTGGGCTCTTTCCCAGGATCTTGGTTTTTGAACAGCTTTCTGCCTAAGTTGGTAATGGTGAGAAGGCTGGCTGTCTTTACTTGCTTTGAGAAGGAGAGAATTTAAAACTGGGTTTACTGACAAGTGTCACTTGTTTGGGTTGGTGAGATGAGTGCTCCGGAGAGAAAAAAAATGAGTTAGCTTTGTAATAAGTAGAGATTGGTCACTCCTAGATTGTCCACTGCTATGATCACAGCTGCCAATAAAATACCCTTACTTTGCATTACCGAGGATAGAAAAGATCATGTTAATGGTGGTGATGATTTCAGAAGTTAGATGCACTAATCTTCACTGGCTTAAACTAGCCAGATAAGCCTCCACTTACTTTTTTATGGAGTAAGTGCTGCAATATAAGAAGCAAGTTGGGCCAAGTGCTTCCTCCACTTATGACTTCGCGGATTTCACGGGTTAGCACTTGCTGATCTACTTGTTCAGTATAAAGTCCATGGTGTTCCAAGTTCTCAAGCATTGCAGTGAAGAGATGGAAGCAGCAATGAGGTACATTTGCATGCTCTGTTTTCTTGTGGTTCTTAGCATTGCAGGGTTCAGTGGGGTAGATGGAGCTGGTGAATGTGGAAAGTCTTCTCCAGATATGGAAGCTCTGAAGCTGGCTCCTTGTGCATCTGCAGCGCAAGATGAGAATGCTGCGGTGCCCAACGGTTGCTGCGTTCAGGTGAAAAAAATGGGACAGAAACCAAGCTGCCTGTGTGCAGTTTTGCTTTCTAATACCGCTAAAAGTTCTGGAGTAAAGCCAGAAGTTGCCATCACTATTCCCAAACGTTGCAACATTGCCGATCGCCCTGTGGGTTACAAGTGTGGAGGTCAGTTATTGCGTTCCCATCAGTATATTGCTTCATTTTCTCTTGATCACCCTTTTCCCTCCTATTCTCGGAATTTCATTACATATTTAGTTCTCTCTGTTCTTCTTCTGTGACCCCTAATACTCTTCTTTCTGTTTTACAGCTTACACATTGCCTTGAAGAATAAAGATTTCCTAGTCTTGTCCTTGAGAATGTTGTGATTCACTTTCGTAAACACCAGTTTACCAGAGTCAGAGTATGCTAGCTAGTTCTTCTAGCTAGTAGTTTACTGTCGTTTCCAACATCTGACTGATAAATAAATTACTGGTTGGTTCTGTTTACACTGCGGTGACGATAATTGTGGTTTTTGTGGATTTTTCCTTTTGCCTTTTCTTTTCTGGGCACGTGTATTCCCCTTCTCACATGCATAAAACAATTATGTGATTGAAGTCCAATTATAACAAAAAACAGCTCAGATGCACATAATTACAGCTTTGTTTACAAGTACTAGCATCAGGGCTCTCATGAAACAAAGACAAGCTCATACACAAACGTTGCCCAGATTGATTGGCAAAGACCCCAAATTTTAGAAAGAAAAAACAGAGGAGAAAAGAAGAAAACAGAGTGCTGCAAGTCCTGGTTACTTCTAGGATTCACTCTATGCTATCTCAAACTTCAGTAGTGTTCACAGGAAGCCATGCTGCTCAAGAAAAAGGACACAATTAGGAGTTTGGAGAAAACACAAATTACAAGATGACAAGAAACCTAGAGGAGCCATGGGAAACTTAAAAAGGCCAATTCCCAGGAAGGTTGCGTCTATAATAGGGGGTTTCTTATATTGATAAAAAGAAAATTAAACCTTAAATCAATCACTGTAATGACTTGTCCATGGAATACCTTTGTTAATGGATGGAGAGTTTGCATCGGATGGGTAGGATTTTAGTAGTATAGGGATCCTGCATAAACAGAAAACAAATGGTTTGAGTTATTTGTACTGCCATATAACAGCACAGCCTAAAGTGTCCTTTTATCATTTTTTGTTGGTCACAAGTGTCCTTTTATCAATAACTCCACAACAATCATACCCTTCCACCAATTTCCTCTTGAAGCACCATTTCCATTGTTTCCATTCGGGTCATCATGTTCATCGTCTTTCTTGAACTGATCAAGTCAGAAAACACAACATGATCAGTGGTACTGTGTATTATTACCCCAATATCTCATACTAGGTAGCATCATTGAACACGATTACTGGATGAAATGGACCCGATTATACTTACAACTTGCTGAGAACCAGTGGTCTGACTATTAGGAGAATAAACTTCTTGGCCTCCATAGTAGATTGATGAGCTGAAATAGCATGGTTCTGCACTTTCGCCCTTGTTTCTTTGTGTTGAAGAACCTGTAGTTCCATGTTTGGCATTGCCATATTGACCTCCCAAATCCGGCTTTTTCGATGATCCTGTACTTACACAGTGAGAGGAGTCCCTCCCAAGCCCCTAAAATCAGAGAAGAGAAAAAAATAAAATTGAATTACGACATTTCAGAACTTCTTCCACAATAATTATGTTGTATTCCTCAGTAAAGCTGATTAGAAAAAGAACAATTAGGGTGACAGTAAACTCCTTGATTAACAACACCACCCCTCCTCCAACCCCCCTCCCCCAAAAAACAAAGAAGAAAAAATCCACCAACAGGGGCTTATAAAAATGTCTCGAAACTGAAAAAAATAAATAAAAGCAAATACCGTGGAGGGTGGCCCAAAAACAGAGCCAAAGAGTCCAGTGGACGAGGACGATGATGAAGAGGTGTCCTTGGGACCAAAGAGATCCACAGTAAAGGACGAAGAAGAACCACCCACTTGCTTTCTGTTTTCCATATTTTCTGTCACCTTTGCTTTCTTCGTCAACCAACGAACAAAACTACCTCGATTAATAGATGTCCCTAACTGCCAACGACCACCAACACAAAACCCAAAAACAGAACCACCACAGAAATGGATAAGATTTGCAGAGAGGGAAAGAGAGAGAGAGGTTAATTAATGACAGAAGCAGAGCTGAAGAAGACGAAGAAAACAGAGAGGTCACGTGAAGTCCGAAGTATGTGAAGAAAATGCAACGGTCACTGCTATTTATAGGCCCAAAAAAAGACGGCACTCATCCATCACCCATCTCCATGTGCAGTCATTCAAAGCTCCCATGACCACTCTCTCTCTTTCGCTCTCCCGCCCTCCATCACACATGGGTCCTCACTTGCTGCCAAGTGGACCAAGTAGCATCTCCCCTTGACCAACATGTATCCCAAATGGATATTAAAGTCCCTTCTTCCCTCTGTATAATCATTTTTTAACCTATCTGGGTATCTCTGACCTCAACTTCATGAGACAGAGACACAGAGAGAGAGAGAGAGAGAGAGAGAGAGAGAGACAGTGGCCCATCCCACATGGTAAAGTCCCACAAGGCAAATGGATAAGGTCATCTCTCTCTCCCCACTTGAGCTTATTCGGATATGGCCGCCTCTCACCAAATTAACTGTTGACTCTAATGGATTGTTCCTTTCTTCACTTACAAGAATCATGGAAGATACCAATTACCATGCAATGAAGACAGATATATTAAAAAACAAAAAAAATATTAGAACTCTTCTTCCTTTTGATTCTTTGAAGTACTACGAATATGAAGAACGAATATTTGATCTTATACACATAGAAACATAGACACGTGATGAGATAACTGTTGTGCCTTCTTACTTTTTTTTTTTCTTTTTGTGGGGAGAATCGAATGAATGGTTGAAGTTCACATGACCATGACACTTCTAATTTAGGGTTAAACCCTGATGGTAATTCGTACTTGAGATTTGATGATGTTCGTTTACTATACATGGAGAATATTTGGTAACTATATAGATAGAAAAGGGGAGCCAATTGACCAATATCGATTGGAATTTTTGTTTTCATCAATCATCTTAATTTGAAACCGAATTTATTATATACCTCCGTCTTTTAGATCTGAATATTTGATTCGATTATCTGTGATTTAAGTTATTTATAAGGTTGATGAAATCTAGCGATTATTAGATAAAGTGAATTTAAGCTTTTGACTTTCAATAAATTTAAGTATGAACAATTAAAATAAAATCTGTAAATATATATTTCACGTTTCTAATTGGAATTCCTATTCGAATGCAATGAAATCCAATCTAAATTTGAAGAGAGATAGATAGAGCGCTTTCCTGTAGTTTTGGGGTGTAACGGTGACACCATATCAATATTGACATATGGTGTCACCATTCAATAATAAATTTACAAAATTTGTGGTTATTAAATGACATAACAAGATAGTTATGTCACCAATCAATAATAAATTCCACACATGGGTGGTTATTAAATGATGTAACATGATAGTTACATGCCCTTGCTGTAACTATATAGTTTGTGCTTTCTCTTTCCTGTATGCAAGGATGTTGTTCACGGGATGGTCTTTGGTACATGCCCTTGCTGGCTTGAAGTTATATATCTCCTTGCAACTTAATTTATTGATTTAATTCATTATAATTCTTGAATTGACTCTGGACTTCATAAACCATTAAAATTTGATGTTAATTCAACTATTACACAAAACTATATCATTAGGTCAAATTTCTGTCTAAATTGCACTACTCATGCCCCAAGTCCAATTTCTGCCAAGTGAGCTTTTAATTTCGCAAAATAGAGCCCATTGTATGATCAACAACGATAAGTAATAGGAAAAATGCTATTTAAGCCTGATATATTGACATGACGTATCATAGTCATTGAATTGATAGTAGGTCTTAACTAATAATAGAGTTTTAATGGTATAAAATAATTAAATTAATAAATTAAATCCAAATAACATTGTTCTATGTAATATTATTATACTACCACATGCTCCTCGGATTGCTCAATCTGTTATGATTATTGCCTTTGAAATGGTCTATGTGAGGATTCAGTGGTGGCCTAACAATCAACCACCCCGTCGTTGGATCTAAATGTCACGGGTTAACATAATATGATCATAGATCTTAGGTTGTAACTTGATCATGAGCGAATTTGTTGACGTTGCACTCATGAAATATGGAAAGTGTCAAACATTGGGAAGTATCCGGGGAGGAGTTAGGAATAGGAACAAGGAGAAACGAGAATCACTTAAATGGGCGAAAATGATTGTATTTGTCCTTTGTTCCCATAGCAACTGGGGATTAAAAAGCTCTATAACCTCACCCACTCCCTCCTATGTACAAACTGTTCCAAAAAAAAAAAGAAGTGGTCTATACCAATCAAACTATCCTTTAGTGCTTTAGATATATTTCATGGAAATAATTTCTTTGTGTGGGTATAGCAAGCAATACCATATTTTTGTTTTTTGTTTTTTTTTTCTCTCATAGTTATACAATTTCATAAGAGTGAAGATGGAAAATTCACATTACAACAGTGGATAGATAATGAGATTAGGAGGACCACTTGGTTAGTTTCACGTGGTTCCATGGCCGAAGATAGCTAAAAGTTAGAGCATGGTCCTCCAAAATCCAATTGATTCTACTCAATCCGAGGATATCTTTGGGGCTTCGCTGTAATTTACAATTATCCTTCTTTTTTTATGGTTATTGTTGAAATCAAGTTATTATCCAAATCGGGGTTTAGTTGTTCTACTAAGGGGAATATATTTGAACACGTACGGGGGTGTTTGGATGACAAGATATAGGGGTTAGTACAAGTTGAATTGGAAAAAATTGCAGTGGACCCCAATTATCCCATGTTTGGGAAGAAAAAGAATTATTTATCAAACTATAATATTTTTTAAACAAATATATCAAAATACGGTATTTTTAAACTTATTTATCAAATTACGATATTTTTTAAAAGCGGATTCAATAACTCCACTTTTGTTAAAAAAAATAGAGTTTTAATAACTTGTTAAAAGGCGAAATCAACAAACCCCCTTTTTAAATTAAAAAAAAAAAAATTGGACAGCAAGAAAAACGTGTTTAGTAAACACAAAAGATATGGATTAACCCAAGAGTCCAAGTTGATTATTTCTTCCTTGGTGATTTCCACCATTTTTGATTGAGAAATTTAGGTTGTTATTTCAGTGTAATTGTGTAGCGTTTGTCATGGGATTTCAACAACGTGGGGAATAGTTGTGAACTTATGGGGATATCAATGCTTTGACCAGTGTAATACCACCCATTTGTTCTTGGATGCACTGGACACATTTTTCCTTACTGATTATACAAGCAGTAATGTTAAGATAATCAAGGAACGCAAATAGATTTTTCCTCTAATACACGTAGATTCATCACGTCAGGTGAATTAATAGAACAAGTTGTTTAAATTTAGTGAACAAGTTGTTTTTAGTAATCTAAATTATGCAAAACACCCTTATAAATAGTTGCTTGAAATATATTTTTTTTTGTTTCTTGGATGAAGGAAATACGTATAATTGTCCGCGATTAAAATGTAGTCAAATATGAGGTTGAATTGGATTACCTAGGGGTATGATGGTAAAATTTTAATTTATAAAGCTTTGAACATGTGGAACCACAAAAATTCAAATAGATTTGTCAAACATAGAATATCAGTCACTATTCCTAAATCAAGAGAAGAAACTTCTTTCTGATCTACCTTTCTTGGTTATCTGTTCATTTTTCTCTAGTATTAGAGGATTTTGGCAAGCCCCTTTCGACAGAGGGACGAGCAAAAGAGCTCGTTCTTTCATTTTTAGATCTTTTGATTCGTAAGATTATGATAGAGTCTCTTTACTTTTAATTTATTAGATCAGTAAAATGTTAGCCTGTCCAATCCAACGAACCAAACACACTCATAGAGGCTATGAAATTGGCCTAAACAAGTCCTCCCAAAATAAGAGTTTTCTACAATCAATTTTTCGGACTCTCTAAAAGTACAATTTAAACGTGTTGGGAGAAAGAGATAGAATGGAGCAGCTAGAACGGGTGAAAATACAAATATTGTGCATCGCATTGATCCCTGCTGCTAAGATTTGGCATAAATCACCCACAATATATTTAATTTGGTGGAAAAAAATATTCTCTAGTGGGCTTAGTGGGTCCTCTACAACGTCATGGTGGGGTGATTGGATTGGAAAGATTTGGAAGGAAACAAGAAATTAGAGATATACAATATTTAAACCCGGCATTTTATCATGTGACAATTAATTTGGATGAACTAGATGAACATTATTAATTTAATGATAAAGTTTACATCATCTTCACAAGATATACTATGGATCACTAATTGGGGGTGGGCAGACCTTTTATGCTCGAGTGAGGCTTTCTTATTAAGCGTGTTAAGATGAAGGCCCCTCCAAGATTAGCAACCTTACGTGTACTGCACCATCCAAGCTTTAAATATTAGTGCTTAATCTGCAAAAGAAGATACAAACAAGATATGCTATTATTATATGTTTGACGCTTTCTAAAATTACTTATGGTGATAAGCCTGTGCGGATTAGTTCAGTGGTCGAATAAGAAGAAAGATGTAAACTTATACATCTTGAATTTGAGTCTTTCGGACGCATAAAACTTGGATTTAACTGTGATTACGCGTGTAACTTTAATATTTGATGTGTAACTATGAGAGTATAGCTTCTAAGAATGTTCGGTTAGGACGATTCGTTGTCAGAAAGATAATATCAATTTGAGTACGTAGTTGAAGATTCTTTTAACGCGATTGACAAATTATTTTAATATGGGGATGGAAAATCGGATTTGTATACCTCCTCATCACTAGATTACATTATACCTGATTAATTGAAAAGATAGGCATCAAGTTATTCTTTCAACTAAAGTACTTTCAGTACTTCAATCAATCAAAAACAGGTTAATTAGAACAAGTTCTTGGTAGTTTAGGATTCTAATTACGTTTTTAATCCCCCTTTCTTTTTTGTTTTAGTTCTTGGAACTTTAAGAATATCACAGGGTACTTCCTGGGGCGGCTCAGTAAATCTCTAATTCAAATTTGCTTTAATGGCTGCACCAGAATTAACCATATAAAGCAGTGAGCAACTTGCAAAAAACTACATCTAGAACAATTGTTTGACTTTTTAACACACCCCCCTGTAATTTCTTTCAATGATAAACACCATACCGTGTATTGATGGAGGACTAACTTGCCCATGCACCGTGTATTGAATTAAGAGCATTGCATAGTGTTTCCATTGAATTAATGATGGAGGACTTTCATTACTGTTGAAAGTATTGGCACGA